TTGTACACTGACACATATCGTTGTACACTGACACATACCCCTGTACACTTACACATATCGTTGTACACTGACACATACCCCTGTACACTGACACATATCGTTGTACACTGACACATACCCCTGTACACTGACACATATCAATGTACACTGACACATACCCCTGTACACTGACACCTATCGTTGTACACTAACACATACTCCTGTACACTGACACATACCCCTGTACACTGACACATATCGTTGTACACTAACACACATCGTTATACGCTGACACACATCGTTATACACTGACACACATCGTTGTACACTGACACACATCGTTGTACACTGACACATCGTTGTACACTGACACACATCGTTGTACACTGACACCCATCGCTGTACACTGACACCCATCGTTATACACTGACACACATCGTTGTACACTGACACCCATCGTTATACACTGACACATCGTTGTACACTGACACCCATCGTTATACACTGACACACATCGTTGTACACTGACACCCATCGTTATACACTGACACATCGTTGTACACTGACACCCATCGCTATACACTGAGACATACCATTGTCCTCCACACAGTAAGTAAACTATATTGGTTACATTATTATCGAACAACATCACTTGGCCAAACACTATTGATCATGGTGGACTGATCAACCAATCCCCTCACACCTCTTTGCAGTTCTTCTTAGTTGTAGTAGAGTGTTGGTGGTTGTCATCTTAGCTCCCGATTCCAGACTCTCTAGTTAGTAAGAACCATCTAAATATGATGTCTGGATTAGGTTATGTTTACGGTCGGTTTGATCTTCTTTGTGCTGAACATTCTTAGCTGAACTGACTCGTCCTTAACTGATCTGACTCGTCCTTAACCGAACTGACTCGTCCTTAACTGACCTGACTCGTCCTTAGCTGATCTGACTCGTCCTTACCTGATCTGACTCGTCCTTAGCTGATCTGACTCGTCCTTAGCTGATCTGACTCGTCCTTAGCTGATCTGACTTGTCCTTATCTGTTCTAACTCGTTCTTAACTGACCTCATTCAGTGGATGAGGGGCACGATTATGATGTGGTATATCTCGAGTATAATAAAGTCTTCGACAGAGTCCCCCACAAAAGACTAATACGAAAAGTGGAGGCTCGTGGCACTGGAAGAGAGATTCTAAAATGGATTAGGGTGTGATGACAGGACAGGAAATAGCGAGTAAGCATAACGGCTCTAATTTCGATGGGGATAACGTCACTAGTGGAGTACACCAAGGCTCAGTACTTGGACCATTATTATTTATTATATACATAATCGACGTAGATATAGGCGTAGATAGCAACACAAGTAAATTTGCTGACGACACTAAAATAGGGAGTGTAATTAAATCTGACGAGGACTCCGCAAAATTACAGGAAGATCTAAACCAATTTTTTCACATGGTTTACAAAATGGCAGATGAAATATTATGTGGATAAATGTAAATTACTTAGTCTAGGAGATGTAAACAGAGAAACCAGATATCAGATGAACAACATTGTTATAGAGAAATCCGACTGAGAAAGACTTAGGAGTAATGATAAGTAGGAATCTTAAACCAAATTAACAATGTGTATTTGCTCGAAACGAGGCTAACAAGTGCTTGGGTTCATACAAAGGAGTGTTAGTTACAAGACTAGCGAGGTTATACTATATCTTGCGCTTGTGAGACCTCACTTGGATTACGCAGTTCAGTTCTGGTCACCGAATTACAGAATGGATATAGAGTCCCTAGAAGGAATTCAGAGGAGAATGAAAAGACTAATCCCGGGCATTATGAACCTTAAGTATAGAGACAGGTTTAAGCATCTTAATTTGCACTCCGTCGAGATACGTAGAGCGAGGGGCGATATGATTGAGGTGTATAAATGGAAGTCAGGGTTAACCAAAGGTGATATAACTAAGGTACTCAAACTATCCAACCAGGAGCGAACTCGTAACGATGGTTTTAAATTAGACAAATTTACATTTAGGCGCGAAATAGGTAAACATTGGTTTGGAAATAGAGTAGTGGACGAGTGGAACAAGTTACCAAACATCATCATAAACTCGAATACGCTGGATAGCTTCAAACATAGGTTGGGTGGATATATGAGCGATAGGGTTGGGTGTAAATGGGACTGTCCAGTATGGGCCGATCCCACCCCTTCACCTCATCACATACATTACCTCGTCGCTCATTCCATCACCCCTCACTATCAGTCCTACCCATCACCCATCCCATTACATATATAACCTCATCGTCCATTCCATCACCACTCACTAGAAGTCCTACCCATCACCCATTCCACTCCCTTACCCATTCTATCCCTCTACCCATCACATACCCCAATAACCCATACCCATCCCACACTAAAGCCACCCCATCACCCATCACTTAAACCTCTCCCTGACCCCGGTATAGTCCCCAAGAGGACAAGAAGGGGGGCTGATAGGGGCGGGTCGGGGGCAGAGTAGGGGCGGGTCGGGGGCAGAGTAGGGGCGGGTCGGGGGGTAGAGTGGGGAGACGCGGACAGGTATTTTCCCCGAGTGTCTTAGCTGGCGGGGAGAAAGTGAACTGCTTCCTGCTCAGTGGCGGCGTCCGGATGCTCGCTTTCCTTTACTTAATGTGACCTGGGCTTAAGCTTCCCCTGGGACAAGTAAGCCGGAGGGAGGGGGGGGGGCTCCTTTCTCTAATACATGTTGAGAAAAGGTGTATCTCCTTCCCTTCCTTCCCGTTCCCTCCTTCCGTCTGTCGACTGTCTCTCCTTCCTGCTTTCCTCTGTCCCTCCCTCCTTGGCTCTTTTATTCCCGTCCTCTCTCTACCCCTCCCTCCCTCCCTCTGTCCACTCCGTCCCTCCTGTCTGCTCGTATGATTGAATGGTGTACATCTACTTAACTATTATACGCTTTGAAGTACATTAATACATTGTAACATCAACGTATGTATCAATACCAGTCGACACGCCTTACCTCTAGTGCCGACGGGACTGGAGTGTTAGGGCGGGTAACACCTCTTATATACTGTGGGCCTTGACGACGTCCTTACTTACCCCCAGCCAATGACCAAGACAGATCTGGCGAACAAGGTAATTAGCGAACGAGTATTCAGAAGCTGTTTACCTGTTCTAGCCCTCTGATTGGTCGAGACGCCGATTTGGTAATTTAGTTCAGTGCTTCGGAGATACATTTCGACGAGTTAAAGGTATATTGAAGGTATACAGAATATACATTATGTGTCATTTGTTTGTTGGTATACATAATTTGTTAAAGAAATACAGATAAGCATGACTCTGTATAGGATCTTGTTTGTGTATATCTTAACTGCCTGCGGCTATAGGAACTCGTGTATATTATTGTATATTAAATTCAGTGTATATTGATGTTGATGTGTATTGTATGTTGAAGATGTTGATGTTATTATAATATATCACTACGCTTCAACAACTAATACATATACTCGTTCAATAAAGTCATCAACACCTGTCCGGTAATGACCAACAGGTGTCACGGAGGGTCATCACACACACACACCTGTCCCACCTGTTGTACTCTTCCTGTTGGAAATGATCTTTATTATAAACCAAAGACCAAAATAACCCTGGAAGATGTCTGTATGTCTGTATGTGCGTCCTGGAACTTCTGGAAAACTCTGGAACCACTTACCAATTTGGACTTTAGAATTTCTTTTCCTAGGATGTTTTACCCAAGTGATTCCTGGAACTATTTTTTCTAGGATATATAATACCTAAGTAATTTTTGGAGACCTTTTTTTCCTAGGATGTATTAGTCAAGTTATCTCTGGAACTTTTTTTTTTCATAGTATATAGTACACACAGGCGTTAAAAAAAATCCACATGGAGCCTTTTTTCCCCTTAAGAGTGTACTAGAAAAAAAACCCTTTTCGTGTAAACACTTACACAAATTCTTTCTTTTCCCAGGATGAACAAGATGGTCTTTTTTTTTCCCAGGATACATGAGGGTAATAGAGCCGTATGTGTATTATAGGCCTATATACCATACTTTAGATGCCCTTTATTATATCATCTATATTATATTATGTTCCTCTCAGTTGACGTCATCAATAAAAGACAAAAAAATAGGATATTAAAGAAGAATCAATATCCATTTCTTTATTTCTGCTGAAGGGGAGGAGGCCACCCCCTAGTTCTGAGGCTAAACAAGCTATTATGATATAGTCAAGGTAGCCCAGGACTACCTCCAGTAGCCTGAGGGAAGAGGGTGCTAGGGCTATGTACAAGGAGGGAGGGGGGAGGTGGAGGCGGAGGAAAGAAGAAGGAAGAAAAGGCAAGGGGAGGAAGTGGAGGAAGGAGATAGAGGGGAAGAGGTGTTGGGGTTATATACATGAGGAAGAGAGGGAGAAGGGAGGAGGTAAGGAAGAGAGGGGAGGGAGGTAAGGAAGAGAGGGGAGGAGGTAAGGGAGAGAGGGGGAGGGAGGTAAGGAGAGAGGGGGGGGAGGGAGAAGGAAGAGAGGGGAGGGGGGTAAGGGAGAAGGGGAGGGAGTAAGGGAAGAGGGGGAGGGAAGGAGGAGGAGGTAGGGGAGTAAACCCTTAGAAGAGGGGAGGAGATGCTTGAGGCTATATACAGGGAAGGGAGGAGGAAAGAGGGAGAAGGAGATGGTTAATACAATGGAGAGCGAGGGGATTAGGGTTATAAACAGGGTGGAAGGAGGAAGAGGAGGAGGAGGAGGAGGAGAAATACGACGAGGAAGAAGAAGAGGAAGAGGAAGAAGAAAACAAAAAGAAAGCTGGGGTTTATATACAAAGAAGGTAAGAGGAGAAAGAAGGGAAGGAATGGAAGGGGAGTCTGGAGGGAGGGACGGAGGGAGGGAGGCAAAAGGAAGGGAGGGAGGATAGGCCGGATATGTACACAGGAGCTGGGGAGGGGGAGGGAGGGGGAGGGAGGGGGGGACAGGTGGTCAGGACTGGTGAAGATGGGATCATGATGAGAGAGAGAGAGAGAGAGAGAGAGAGAGAGAGAGAGAGAGAGAGAGAGAGAGAGAGAGAGAGAGAGATCAACATTCTCCATACCACTTCACGTGTCACCAACCCTACCTGAGTCCACAGCAATATAATGTTAATACACAATATTCATACACACACAAAAAACATGACCTAACCAAAACAAACAGGTGACCTTTAACACTCCTGTGGGACTCGTGGAAAAATACTGAACTGTTAGGTTAGGTTAGGTTAGGTTAGGTACTATGAGAGGGAGAAGAGAGGGAGAGGGAGAGGGGAGAGAGGGAGGGGAGATAGGAGGGAGGGAGGGGGGAGGGTTAGGAAGGCAATATAACAATCAAAAGATATAGTATTCATATATATATATTTATAGATCTGCTTCGTTTATATGGAAACACCGAACAATAATATTAGTGAATATTCGTATACTCTTAATCTTTACTTCAAGGACATGGCTGCACCACACGTCTCTCTTGTCTCTTACGCATGTCTCTTGTCTCTCATTCATGGTATATACGCACACACTGCCATTTCATCTGCTTTGAATCTCAGGTGACGTCATGGTTTGTTGTCGGGATGTTATCTTCTCTGGTGACGTCATCATTTAGTTGACGTCATGGTTTGTTGTCGGGATGTTATCTTCTCTGGTGACGTCATCATTTAGTTGACGTCATGGTTTGCCGAGGTGACGTTGATCTGATATACGGTAACATCTATCATAACTGTTCATTTTACTTTTTTTTTAGGAATTTCATCTGTAAGCAAGATTTTTACCGTAATTAAATTTCAGCAGTTTATTACTGTATTTTCTACCGAGCACAAGAACCAAGCTACAGGTTACAAGCATAAGGGATCGGATCACCAGCTCCACGAGAGGTCAGGAAGCACCCAACTTCAAACTATCGGAGTCGGATCTCTATCTCCGCACAGAACAAGGGATCAAAACCTCTTGAAAACCTTCCACACACTTCCATTTATCTTTTTTGTTTAGCCACCTGTGTCTGTGGTTCAGTTCCTTATACTTTTACGATCTTCTTTTGTTTCTAAACGTAATCTGACACTTCAATACATTCTAATTGTCTATAAATGTGGGAATTCAATGCTTTTCTATCACAATATCACTTAATGAACCTTCACTGTGTTATCGCCATTTAGAAAACCCAACAACGATGAATAAGTAACGTGTTTACAGGCCGCTGAAGGTTCAAACACATCAACACACTCTGAAGGCGTCTCATGAGTACACAAACACTACTTGAGCGTCACTTGAGCGTTAGTGTTTACACAACCAACACGTACTGTACATAATGGGGGGTCACTGTCTGTTGTCACCTTCAATCTGGCTCTGAAAGTAGCTGTGTTTCAATCGCACCCCGTCAATGTGTCACTTTCCGTCAATCTGTGTCCCTTTTCGTTACTCTCCGTCATTTTCCATCACTGTGCGTCACTTTCCGTCACTCTACGTCACTCTCCGTCACTTTTTATTACTCTACGTCACTTTCTGTCACTCTGCTTCACTTTCCGTCACTTTCCATCACTGCGTCACTCTCCGTCACTCTACGTCACTTTCCGTTACTCTGTGTCATTTTCCATCACTGTGCGCCACTTTCCGTCACTCTGCGTCACTCTACGTCACTTTCTGTCACTCTGCGTCACCTCCCGTTTGTTTCCATCACTCTGCGTCACTATCGGGGTTCACACACACACACACACTAGGCACACCTACTGTACGTCCCTCGTAAGGAGCTAGACGGGGACACATACAGTAACACACGTGTAGTTAAGTGCAGCGGACCTTACGCCTTAACAGAGATAGATATGGTTGCTAGAATTGAGCGGGAGAGGTGGGTCATTGGCAGCGCTGTTAGGTCAATCTAGGTCAATATGGGTCATTAGCAACGCTATTAGGTCAATCTAGGTCAATATGGGTCATTGGCAACGCTGATAGGTCAATCTAGGTCAATATGGGGCATTGGAACCGCTGTTACGTCGATCTAAGACAAGGTCAACAATCTTAGGTCAATGTGAATCATTGGCAACACTGTTAGGTCAATTTGGGTCGTTGGCAATGCTGTCAAGTTAACTAGGGTCAATCTCTGTCACTTGGAAGGTCATGTGAGGTTAAGTGGCAGCAGAGACAGGTCATTATGGGTCATTAAGTCATCATAGGTCACAGCAGCAGAGGGGAAGGTCAGTCTACGGCAAGGATGACAAACTCTACACACACAAGGACAGAGTTGACCTCACTTCCGGGTACAGAGAATGACATCAAAACACACACACACACACACACACACACACACACACACACACACACACACACACACACACAACATATGGTGAGCTAAAAGGCCAATTGGCTCCTAGAATGACTCCCGTGGGGTTATAAACAAGCCGCCATCACGTGACCTACAACGTCCCAGTATACTATAGAACATAAAAAATCGTAATAAAAAATATGTCAATTGATATACATATTGTGAAGGTCAAGCTGAACCACAAGGCGGGAGTCTGCTTCCTCTCCTGGCCTTGGACCAATGATAAGATGGGTCGTTTCTCTCATGGTGCTAATAGGGATATTCGCCCTTCATCTGGTGACGTGGGCGTGGAGGGCAGATAGTGCTATGAGGAGAACCATCGTTGGGCAGACAGGAGACGCTCTTAAAC